AACCCGGGCCACCAAAGTGGAATGCGCCAAACTTTAACCACTAGGCTATCAGGGCTGGCTCCCAAATTTTTGAAATGATATTTAATGCTTGGCTTTTTTTCTGTTGTTTGCAAAAGTAGTACTTGTTCTTATAGAAAACTTAGAAAGTAATTTTAAAGCCACAAAGAAGAAAATAAACATTTCTTACAATCCCACCTACTAAAAATAACTGCCATAAACATACAGTTTAATATTTACCTTTTTGCTATGAACATATACATACAACTTTTAAAAGACAATATTGAGCATATTATTACAGATATTGCTTTATAACTTACTGCTGTCTTTTATCAAGAGCATTTTCTAATTTGACAGGCTAATTCAGAAGCAAACAACAAAGCCTAAAGCTGTACAATGACACAATAGTACAATTCTGTCAAAAGCAGTCAATTCAAGAGAAAGAAATTAGGATGATGTACTTGAAGTTATGTAGGCCAATCAACAGGTTGATCTGCTCACTATCTACTGTTACTAAATTAAATGCCCCGGCCGATTGGCACGCTGGTGACGTGTGATCAGAGGCAGGATTTAGGATTTAAAGTTACATACTCTTTTAATAAATACGGGGCAGTTTGGGATCCTTTTTGATACCTTTCAGTAAAGAGTAGAGGTTTTGCTTTTAAAATTAAAGGTTCACTTCAGAAGAAAAGGTTTTTATCTTCTTTAATGAGTTGCAAAAACATGCAAAATAACATCCTGAGGCTATTAAAGTTACAGCTTCTGAGTCTGAAGGGGTCAGAAAAACCCGGGAGTATTTTGATACCCCAAGATTTTTTGTTTGATGTGTCTGAAGTTACACATTTAATAACTGAGTGCCCTTCCTTTCCCTTATGAGCTTTTCATCTTCAAAGATTCAGCAGTCTATGATTATTCCAGCACTAATGTTTTTGTCTGCCAGTAAAGATCTGTTCATTTAAAAATATCTTTAAAGAGCACCTTAATCCATTATGAATTTAATGACCATACTTTAATTGTATAACTTCGGCTGATAAATCTATATTCAAAGAATTCCTGTTACTTATAAGACAGAAATAAGTAATATAAGTCCCATGAATATTGATATACTCTCTCTCTCACTCACACATACACACACACATACACACAGAGTACATTTCAAAGTCATCACTGGAATATTTACATTCATAAGTATCTTTCAAAGAGTTAGATGCTGTATTTATTTAATTTAGTGAAAGTGACAAGCAACTTAACATCTGCCTAATATCTCATCTGTATTCCAAAATCTGTTGAGCTTGATTGATTTTTTTTTTTTAACCTTACATTGGTCTTCAAATTTGATTCTTTTAAACATGGGCCCAATACAAGTTGTCTACAATAGACAGTGACAGTACAGGAATTCATGAGTTCTGGCAATCCACAGGGTAATTATAAGGCAAACAAAAGCTAAAGTGCAAAAGTTCTGGACACTGACTTCTGTATTCTTGTTTTGCCCTATCAGGTGCTACGAAAAATAGGAGAAAATTGAAAAATGTGACAGATTAATTCTCTAATCTTTTTGTGTGTGTGCGTGAGGAAGATTGGCCCCGCACTAACATCTGTAGCCAATCTTCCTCTTTTTGCTTGAGGAAGAGTGGCCTTGAGCTAACATCTGTGCCAATTTTCCTCTATTTTGGATGTGGGACGCCACCACAGCATGACTTGATGAGCAGTATGTAGCTCTGTGCCCAGGATCCAAACCTGTGAATCCTGGGCCACCAAAGCGGAGTGCGTGAATTTAAACACTCCACCAGCTGTCCGGCCCCTAATTCTCTAATCTTGATACAAAGCGTATTTTACTTTGAGTTCTATTCTTCTTTCCTCCCTACCCTTTCTTGCATTCTTAATGTGTACTTCTTTGATGGATGAGAGGTAATATTAAGCTGCTTTCCTCAGTGTCTCTAGGATGACGCATTAAAACTTCCGTGCTTATTTACTATAGTGCACACCCCAATTTATAGTTATAGATTGTCACATTGACCACATGCAGCCATGGATTCTTCATTATATATTTTGGACTAATTTTTACCCAAGATATCACAGCCAACATATCCAGATTTGAAGCATCTGAATCATTCCTGAAAATGCCTTCATCATATGGTGTACTTACTCAAAACCTCTCTAGACCTCATTTTGTGGAAGACAGTTTGGTTGGTGGCTTAGCACACAGGGCTGGTCCCAGGTACAGCTGACTTTGAATGCTAATCCTTCTTTTGTGTCATTTTGGGCAGGTTTCTTAGCTTCTCCAGTCACATTTTTAAAATGGAAACAAAAACGGTACATAAATTATTTGGTGGTTATGAGGATTAAGTGAAATAGTGCATGCAGAGCACTTGGTGCTGAGTAAGTGTTCAAAATGTTAGTTCCTATTATTTTTACATCATTTCAGGTCAGTTTATGAGCAAGAAAATGACCTCATTACTTCATATCCATATTTTATTTTGATCTTACAATGCTATTCGTCAGACTTATCAGCTACTTTATTTATGAAATTTCTATCTAAACGACTTCGGACTATGTTTGAAAAGCAAATTTGGGGGCAGGCTCATGGCCGAGTGGTTAAGTTCGTGCACTGTGTTTCGGCAGCCCAGGGTTTCCCTGGTTTGGATCCTGGGCGCGGACTGCACAGCTCATCAAGCCATGCTGAGGCGGCGTCCCATATAGCAGAACTAGAAAGACCTACAACTAGAATATACAGCTATGTACTGGGGGGCTTGGGGGAGAAGAAAAAAAAATTGGCAACAGATGTTAGCTCAAGGCCAATCTTTAAAAAAAATTTTTTTTAAAAAAAGCAAATTTACTCTAATGGCAACTATTTTCTTACATTAAAAAACAGAAAACAACATGTTGTGAAGTTTAGTGGAAAACTCAACAGAGCTCTTTTGAGGAATGACTCAAACACACTCTTTAAGTCCAAGCATCTTTAAGAAAGAAATAATTGTGGTATTCAGGAGGCAGAAAGAAGATGTCTCCTTCAGTCAATTCAATCCTGCAGACATTGACTGAACACATGTGTTTTGGTCAGGTACCCAACCTCCTCCGGCAGCATGCAAAAATCCTGCAAAGTGGCATCCAGGCCTTTTTCAGCATTTCATCCTGAGCACATAGGGATTATGGAGGGGAAACTTAAGAACTTGACTTAAAGGTACTTTTCTATTCAGACAGAAAAAGAGAGCACCAGCAGTTACTTAGAGATTTGATGGGATAATAAAGGAAATTGGAACAAGGGAGCAATGTCTCTGACCTGCTGTCAGCAGAGCCCACTTTCTGGGGATGCATCCAATAGTGGGATAGACATCAAACTTTCCTGTGACGGGGCTCAGATCGGGGGGAGCTGGCCAATGTGAAAAGTTTGGGTTATATGCTACAGAATGGCTCAAAAGAGGAATAAACTCACAGAGTTGGCATCATTTGAACCATGCATCAAGTTAACCTCTGTCAGTCCAATCCACAAAGGTTTATTGAGCACCTACTGATTGCCCAGCACTGTACCAGACCCTATGAGAGACAGAGAAGAAGTATAACCATGGTCGTCGCCTTCAGCAGTATAACAGTTTTTAGCTTTTATTATCTTCTCTAAAGTGCACGTAGTTGCACTTTCTCCCACTAACAGGCTTTTCTGTCAAGTGCGATGAGAATATTTCTAGCGAACTTACCTGCAGTTGAAATTACTTTTCTCTGAACATTTCTATCATCTCACTCAGTTGCCCTCAAATTCCTGGCTTTGCAGCTGCAAAATGCCTCTGAGACTTCAGAGCAAAGCTCAGTGACTTCCATAGGGGCCAACAGAATTAATAGGAATGATGAAAAGTGAGCATGAGAGAAAACATACCAGGCTAGACATACGTTTATCTGCAAGTGTTTTATAATCTATCTCTCTCTGACTTTTAACATTCCATTTGTGCTTTACAATATTGTTTATGTTTACTAATATTATTATAATGTTTCTAAGCATAAAATTAGGAATATAAAGTTAAAGGATATTAACACCCAAGAAAGTGCTAAGCACATGGAGAAATCTGAGTCAGATTTAACGGTGCCCCCACCACAGAACGTGAAGAGCGCGTGGGTTCCATTACACGTAGTAGCTGTAAATGAAATATTGCTTCCAATATGCAGCACTTTTCAGTCCCCAAGTGAAAATAAACATGCCCCAAGGAAAACTAAAATCAATATCATAGCAAGAGAAATTAGAGTGATTATTAGTATATTAATTGAATACCAGATGGGAAAGCAAAACAAACAATAGCCTGCCAGTCTCCACAAGAAACATCTTCTAAATATTTTAAAAGAGACTTTAAAACAACATGTGGCGGTGAGGTATATGGGTAATATATTTTCAGCTACCCTGAGCTTGCTAATGACCAAAATAGCTTGTGTGTTATACCTCTAGGGGATGTGAAGTCAAAAATTGTAGAGAAGTCTGCCAGCAATCTAATTGAGGGTGACCTGTACAGATGACCAAATAGATACTAAGCTTTTGGTGTAATTGTGGTTAGTTTAATTATCCAGGGTGTGGATATCTCTGTGTGTGTGTGTGTGTGTGTGTGTGTGTATAATCCTCTTGTCTTTCTTGCCACGTGCAAAGGCCATACACTTTGGCCTCAGTGTCCCTGGGTGAAGATCAGTGCAGTTCCAGTGGCCTAGAAGCCTATGGGTGGGTTTGCTCTTGTCTGGCATGGCTGGGGACTTAAGGGTGAATCCCGTGAGCTGTCTGTACTGACCCCACTCGCAGTTGAAACCTGTGAATGGCAAAGTGTCTAACAGCCCACAAGTTAGCAGCACTTATAAATACTGCTTGAATCAACCACATCCTAGAAAATGTGTCCAAACATATGAAACATTTGTTCCCTTGTTCATTTCCACAGGGAACATTTCTTTTCTGATTTTCTCATGTATTGTTTTCTAAAATGTAAAAAGGTTTTTATATAATAAATGATGTTCCTGAATGTGTTATGTCCCTACAGATGTCTTACTTATTTTAACATGGACTTTCAAAAGTTGAAGTTGACTTATATTTATTCTTGGTTAAATTCAATCTATCAAACTCTATTGGACACATACTATATGTCAGGTGTGGTTGGGCACAAAGATGGATAAGGACACCTCTTCTGCCTTGATGGAGCTCCTGGGTGAGAGCGAGATCAGTCACCTTCACCAATCTCTGTGATGCAATAGGGTAAGAGCAGTAATATGGGTATGGAAGATGTGCCACAGAGCCATGGGTGAGAGAATGTTTAGTTCTGCCTGGGAAGGTGAGGGAAAGCCTCAGGGAGTGACCTTAAAGGCCAAGTAAAAATTCTCTTGGGAGAGAGAAAAGATCTTTTGAAAGAGAAAAACTGGTTGCTAAATTCTTAGCATAGTGTATGTTCATCCTTCAGGTTTTGCTTTTCCCGGATGTCTTCTGGAACTCCATCCCTACCTGAGGCTTCCACGCTGGATTACAGGCATTCCTAGGCTCTCTCTTAACCACCACTCATAGCTTGCATCACTGTTTTAATTGTTTGCTTTCTATATCCCCTCTGGATATGACTCTTCTATGTCAAAATTATTCATTGTAGAATTCCCTAGCCCAATGCCTGGCATGAAATATTAAATAAAATAATGAATGTTTGGGATAAACTAATGTGACATGAATGTAGGGGACACGGTAGTCTGAGCCAGGTTGCAGAGGGCCTTAAGTGTGCTTCTAAATGAGGTTACAGATATTATCACGTGCTGGGCAGCAGGGATCCAGTGACGACTTTGAGTGGTAAAAGGACGTGGTGCCTCTGGTGGCAAGTGGGGTGTGGACTGGAATGGGGAATGGCTGGCAGCTGGAAGACATGGCCCTGATCTCCCTCTCTGAGGGGAACTGATGCAGTCAGTGTATAGAGATAGGAGTGTACTAGCCTGCAGCCTGGTTATGGGCTGGGGGCGGGGGGAGGAGGGGACACATTCTGAATAATAACATCCTATGGGATTTCTAAGTTTGTGACCAAGCTGGCATCTGCATCTAGGTTACTGGGTTCTAGAACATGGAGTGGAGGCATAGGAAGGCCAAGAATAGGAGGTCGGGAAGTGAGGACGTGAAAGAATTCCCTGTGCTGAGCAGCATGCAGCCACCATGAATATTTACTGGAGGCAGCTTGCCTGTTAAGGGTAGTGACAGACTGGTGGGTAGAGAGAAGAGGGAGAAATCAAAAAAGACTTTGGTTTGGGTAACCTGGTGAGTGCTGATGCTTTAGCAGGTTAGGGAGAGGAGGAGGAGAGGAGAAGGAGCAGCAGCAGCTTGCTAGGGCTGCAATCAGATTGGACAACGAGGGAGGGAGGAATAGGTGGCAGATACTTCATGGATTTTCTTGAGTCCCAGTTGGGGAACTTAGACAAAAAATCAAGATTTTTCATTGTGTTTTAAATTTAATCTGTGAGAATCACTTTATTTTACTCATAAAAGCTTTTTTATGAACAGCAATGCCTTAGCTGTGTTCCTAGTTCTAAGAGAGCCTCTTCAAACTTTTTACACAAGTCTAGTTAATTAGGGTCAGATCAAGGAGGTCTGAGTCGATGGGTTAAGCGTCTTCAGGTTGGTGAGTAAGATCAGCCTCCTAGGGCAAATGGTTTAAATATTTAAGCAAATTTTTTTTCTATAATAAATATTTTCCATGTAGTTGCCTATAATAAACACTCACAGTCTCAAGATGGTAAATCAGCAGAACTTGGAACCACCTACACAAAATGTTCACTATATGGAGAAAGAAAATAGACTTAGATCAAAACCTAATTTTATGACAAGTTATAGAGTAAGTACCACTTTAAGATACATTTTTATGGTAACTGATATGTAAATATTCTCGAATCTTCTCTCTTATCTATCCAAAAAAGGGCTAATTGTTAAGCTAGTGCTTTGCATTTCCAAAATTACTTCCATCAACAGCTTTGTAAACTTTCTCTTAAATCGTTTGCCAGAATAATTATGGCCTATGGATTTAAATAGGATTTTATACCGTTTTGTTAATTAGCTTAGTCAAAGATATTTGGGGCTTATCATACTGAATGAAATATTGTTCTATTTCTTTTTTCTTACAGTGTTTTTTTTCCTCAGCCTAAAATAGGTGTACTCGTTCCTGTGCCAAAGAGTATGAAAAGTCTCAGGAAGAATTTGGCAGTTTTTCCTAGAGTATATATTTTGCTTGAGGAACTTGTCAGTTGCAAAATGGGGGAGGCTAATTATTTTAACACATTTTTATATTAAAATAAATATGTTATGCTAGAATGAAAATTCACATGAATTTATGCATATTAAAAAAGAACTGCACACAAGACTTCAAATAGCTATTAAGCTGGGTGCCAGCATTTTCAGCTTCTCACTCCATCTCTGGGTGAGGTTTCTTGCCTTCTAAAGATGGTCTTGTAGATGGGGCATTTATACCCATCACTCTGGGTTCTGTTCTAAACAGACTTGAAGAAGATGTCATAAGAGAATCAAGAGCCCAGAAATAAACCCAAGCATTTACAGTCAGCTAATATTTGACAAGGGAGCTAAGAATACTCAATGGAGAAAAGATAGTCTCTTCAATAAGTGATGCTGGAGAAACTGGATGTTCACATTCAAAAGAATGACACTAGACCCCTATCTTACACCACTCACAAAAATTAACTGAAAATAGATTAAACACTTAAATGTAAGACCTGAAACCATAAAACTACTAGAAGAAAACATAGGGGAAAACTGCCTGACATGGGTCTTGGCAATGATTTTTTGGATATAACACATAAAGCACAAGCAACAAAATAAAAAGTAAATAAGTAGGGGGCCAGCCTGGTGGTATAGTAGTTGAGTTCACACGCTCTGCTTCTGTGGCCTGGGGTTCACGGGTTCAGATCCCAGGTATGGGCCCATGCACTGCTGATCAAGCCATACTCTGGTAGGGTCCCACATACAAAATAGAGGAAGATTGCCACAGATGCTAGTTCAGCGACAGTCTTCCTCAAGCAAAAGGAGAAAGAGTGGCAGCAGAAGTTAGCTCAGGCCCAATCTTCCTCTCCAAATAAATAAATAAATAAGTGGGACTTCATCAAACTAAAAAGCTTCTGCAGAGCAGAAGAAACAATCAAAAAGTGAAAAGTCATCCTATGGAATGGCAGAAATATTTGCAAACCACACATCTGATAAGGAGTTAATAGCCAAAATATATAAGGAACTCATGCTACTCAATAGAAAAAATTAATAATTCAATTAAAAACTGGGCATAAAACCTGAATAGACATTTTTCCAAAGAAAATATTCAAATGGCCAACAGGTAAATGAAAAGAATGCTCAACATCACTAATCATCAGGGAAATGCAGATCAAAACCACAGAGATATCACCTCACATCTGTTAGAGTGGCTGTCATCAAAAAGACAAGAAATAACAAGTGTTGGCAAGGATGTGGAGAAAAAGGAACCCTTGTGCACTGTTGTTGGTGGGAATGTAAATTGGTACAGCCACTATGGAAAACAATATGGAGGTTCCTCAAAAAAGTAAAAATAGAACTACCACGTGATCCAGCAGTTCTACTTCTGGGTGTATATCTGAAGAAAATGAAACCACTATCCTGAAAATGTATCTGCACCCCTATATTTATTGCAGCACTATTCACAGTAGCCAAGACATGGAAACAGCCTACGTGTCCATTGATGGATGACTAGATAAAGAAAATGTGTGTGGGGGCTGTGTATACACATATACATACATACATGGATACACTCACACACACGTACACACAATGGAATATTACTCAGCCTTTGAAAAGAAGCAAATCCTGCCATTTGTGACAACATGCATGGACCTTGAGGGCATTATGCTAAATGAAATAAGTCAGAGAAAGATAAATACTGTATGATCTCATTTATACGTGGAATCTAAAAAGACCAAACTCATAGAAACAGAGATGAGATTTGTGGTTGCTAGAGGCTGGGGGTGAAGTGGTGGAAATGGGAGAAGGTGGTCAAAAGGTATAAACTTCCAAGTTATAGGATAAATAAGCTCTGATGATGTAGTGCACAGCATGATGACTGTGGGTAAAATACTGTATTGTATCTTTGAAAGTTGCTAAGAGAGTGGATCTTAAAAGTCTGCGTCACGAGGAAGAAAAACCTATCACTCTATGAGGTAACGGACGTTAACTAAACTTGTGACAATCATTTCGCAATAGGTACATTTATTAAATCATTACGTTATATACCTTAAACTTATACAATGATATATATCAATTATATCTCATTAAAACTGGGGAAAAAAGATATCAAACAGCCCAAAGTAGTACTTCTTTTTTATGTTTCACTACCTCACCCCTACCACACCCTCATCATAGGGTCTGAGCGAATATAACATTACCATGCTTATCTCACCACGTAACAATTATTTGCATGTCTCTTCAAAGTGTGAGTGTCTTGAGAGCAGGCTTTATTTTTCCTAATCATTTCTATATCCACAGCCCCAACCTCCTGTCCCCGAGTAAGTATTTAATAAACGTGTGTTGAAAGAATGGCGGAATGAACGAACGCATTAATGAATCTCAGGAACTATGGAGGACAGACCACAATTCATACACATAGCACTCTGATGAGACCCTGGGGTTACCCTCCTGATTAATCTGGGATGGAATTGATCAGTATCATGAGGTGATACACTAGGCGGTGAGTTACAATAGAACAAATCATGTCACCAAGGCAAGAACAAGGAGAGGCTCCTGAGAAGTCAAATCTTCGTGCAATAATGGAGGGAACTGGACTTGTTATGCTAAAGCAGTGTATGTACTGCAAGCTCACTGGGAGGAGAGACCCTGTCAGAGATCAGCACTCTTCTGGCAGCTGAAACAAAAGGATAGAAAATATAACCGTGAAAATAATGTGCTTCGAAGGCTCTGTCTACCAACCACAGCTGAAATGATCTCCTGCAGTCAACACATGTGTCATTATTTTGGTAACCCATATGCTTAAATACATAGCGTCATTAAGATCATAAAAATATTAGGTCATTTTATCAGGTATCCAGACATATCGGGTATCAGAGAACTAGTGGATTTTTTCTTGACTGGTAAAAAATGAATTGACAATGAAAATAAATTGATTTTGCACATGAAAGATGAACCTAAACTATTTCTGGTTGATCAACCATTCAACAAATACTTCAATACTATTTATGTGCTGTGCACTGTTACAAGCAAAATAAAATGAATAATAGACCAAATAAGTATCAAAATATTTGCTTTCAAATAATATGCCCATTTAAGAACTTTGAAGTTTGAGCATCTTATACTTTGTCATTTGCATGTTTACAATAGACATTATATGGTAGGTGTTCGGTAAATGATGTATTCAGTAGATGATGTGGTAGCCCCATACTTCCCTGAAGAGTGAAGGGGAACATTTTCCCTGTCAGTCACTCTTTTCTGTTGGAGGATCTGAGGCCTCAGTGCAGTAGTAGAGCAGTTACGTGCACATTCCTGTTAAAAACAAGTTGCAGGCAGTACGAAGACGGGCCATGGGCTTAGTATTGCTTGGTTAGAACCCTACTTCCACCGCTTACTGGTTGTGTGAACTTTGGACAATGTACTAAGCTCTCTATGACTTAGTTTCCTTATTAATAAGCAGAAGTAATCTGTTTATTTTCCCACCTGCCTTCCTACAGTTATGATGAAGTGAGATGATCTATACAAAATGCTCAGAGCAGTTCTTGGCATACAGGGTATACTCAGTAATCACAGTGGACCCCAGAAACATAAGACTAATTAGAGTTTAAAAAATACCTTTCATGGAAGTGGATTTGAAAAAACAAACAAATAGGGCTGGCCCATGGCCAACTGATTAAGTTCGCATGCTCTGCTTCGGCGGCCCCAGGGTTTTGCCGTTTCGGATCCTGGGCACGGACATGGCACCGCTCATCAAGCCATGCTGAGGCAGCATCCCACATAGCACAACTGGAAGGACCTGCATCTAGAATATACAACTATGTACTGGGGAGATTTGGAGAAGAAGAAGAAGAAAAAGCCCCAAACTGGCAACAGATGTTAGCTCAGGTGCCAATCTTAAAAAAAAAAATAACACCTACAAATAGACATGTTTTGAAATGGGAAACTAATTCCAGAATGGTTGATCAGAGAGCTAAAATTCACCAATGTTATCAGGCGTTCACTGTGTCCTCTTCACTGTGCTAGATTCTGAGGAGGATGCGAATTGCCTGAAAGCTCATTTTTGTCCTGCAGAAATTCACATTTTATTTGGGGCAACCCAAGGCAATAATTAAATAGGAAAAGACTGAAACAAAGGCCACAACAACAGAAATCTCACAATATAGTATTATATTAAAATAAATTATTAAAAATATTAAGATTTTATAGTCATAACTTTAAAAAAAGCATGTGGAATTCCAGTGTTGACTTAAATTATTTATATTATAATGTAACCTAAATATGTACAAACATAGACAAGATATACTCCATATGCTTATGGTTCTTACATAACTATAAAACCAAAGCAAATTTATAAATTAAATATAAAAAAATAACCAAAGCCACATTCTCCAATTAACAATCATGAATTTAATGTGGTAAGTAATATTGTTTTACTGAAGCTAAGTTGGCACAGAGGCTTTTGAGTTTGAC